TAGTAGTAGTAGTAGTAGTAGTAGTAGTAGTAGTAGTAGTAGTAGTAGTAGTAGTAGTAGTAGTAGTAGTAGTAGTAGTAGTAGTAGTAGTAGTAGTAGTAGTAGTAGTAGTAATAATAATAATAATAATAAAGAAAGAGAAGAAGAAGAAGATGATGAGAACTTGGAGATGGAAAATTAATGTAAGGATTAAACAATAATAATAACAAATGTCAAGGTTAGAGGTTCCACTAATGGTATATCAAACAAGTATAGTATAAACTCTTATTATTGAATTGGAAACCACACACAAAGGAGGTTCCAATCAGATTATATATTGTTAACATGATTACATTAGTCATCTTATTCAATTAATGCTAATACTTGTAAATCTCGTCAAGCATTCATGATTATAACTTATGTTAACAACAAATCAAGTTCCTTTCATAGCTCAGGTGTCGGTTATACCATACATTATGGGCTATGAAAGTGCCAAACATTTGTTGTACCAAGTGTTATGTAACATAAATCAAGATTAGTCATTTAACAAGCAAAGTATTAAAGAGTGAACAAGATAGCAAATATAAAACATGTTAGTATCAAACATTAAAGTCCATATTAAGTTTACATTATACTTATTCTTACACCATTAGTGTAACCTTTTCACCTTGACATAATTAACTTAGCTAGACATAATGAAAGAAAGCAAAATAGATAAACAAAATAAGAACATAAAAGTTAACTAAGTAAAGGAAAGGAAATGAAAGGCATAAACTTAATATTAATGAAAACAAAGCATAAAAAATACAAAGAGAGAAAGGAAGAGCATGATCTTGATCTGGAAATCAAGATGCCTAAATGCATGGCAAATGCCTCCTTTTATAGGCCAAAAATGGGAACTATTGATTTGATGACTAATTGATAAGTGGGTGACCAACTTTTGACTTGGTGACAATCCTTATCTTCTCTTGTCTGCCCAAAACGTCATTGATAACGTCAAAATTGGAGCCAGTTGTAAACATGAAAGTTGTAGGCAATTGTCTCAGCTTTCTTGTGTAAAAATTTCAGCTCATTTGGACTTCTAGAACTCCAGATATGGCCAAAATACCGAACAGTGCTCGGGCTGGAAGACAGATTCGGGCTTCTTTGTTGTTGCTACAATTTGGACTTGATAATGGCCTTTTTAGATCTTGGGCTCCATATGAAAGTTGTAGGCCTATGTCTTACCTTTCCATCCATATAAATTGGACCTAAATCTGAGATATATAGCTCTAGATATGACCCAATTACCGAACAGTGTTCCGGTTTGGATTGCACCGACATCTCTTTTCTAAGTTTGGCCATCTCTTTATCCTTGCAATTTAAGTTCTTCAAGTCATCAATCAATCCTTTTATTTATGTGATAGGCCTGCATTAAAAATAGATATTTACCACAAATTATAGGTATCTTATCTTATTAGATACATTATTATAAAACATATTTTAGTTAAGGAGTTATTGATACTTCAAGTGCAAAATGATGATATAAAACCATAATAAAAATGCACTTTTAAGTACTAATCACTAGGGTCAAGATATAATTATCATACTCAAAACTATACTCAAAATTATTAAATTAGAAATTATAGTTAGCCTTAAATCTTTTAAATCTAATTTGATAATCAGAGCTAATAATATTGAGTTGGAATTATTATCAACTCTAAAACTATTAAGTTTGGCTTTACTGTAAAATAAAAAGGGCATTAAATTTCAAATCATCATCCGTTGATTATCAAATATAAAACATTTAAAATATTTTTTATATTTAAGTAAGACTTGATTATCAAATATAAAACATTTAAAATATTTTTTATATTTATTTAACATTTAAAAATAAAAAAATTATTCGCCTGTTACGGGGCACAGACAATATTGTTGTATAATTTATCCGGTGATCGGGTCCCATTTGTTAATCACAATCAGCACCGTTCATCCCAAAATTAGAGCTGCTTAAACTTCCCATACGGTCAGCCTCCCTCCATTAGAGAAGTGTAGAACATGTTATGAAAGTGTTTCTTTCTCCTCTTTTTTGCGACACCGCACCATATCTCATGCGCGTAACGATGAAACCGGCTATGCACAAACTACAGCAGCAGTAGCTGTGATCAATTATCGTTTTTCGATTTCGATCGAGTTAGGGTTTCTGCTTCAAATGGATAATTACGGTTTTCACGATGGTAATATCTGTAATATGTTGGAGAGCAGACATCGCCCTGTAATTCTTCTTCACTATTTCTCATACTTAATATTTGCCTAATTATTACTTCGATCGAATTTTTCCTCTCTCTGTTTCTTAGTTAATTTTCTAGCTTTTTGTAGGTTTTTGGCCAAGATTGTAGAGTTTTTTTTTAATTAATTAATGTTTGAAGTTTAATTATAGACTTAACAAGGTGTAAGTATAATTGCAAATGTGTTTCTTCTTTTTGTAGGATGTTAATCACAGTTTACAGATGCATTCCTCACTGATTCGGAGACTCTCCCAAGAAAGAGAATTGGAGGTTATTATGGGATTTTATTTTATTTTATTTTTATCATTTTCTTTTTAGCCAACTGGTAGTTAGCATGGAGGCTTTTCCTTGCAAGTCATTCGTCCACCACCGTAGCTGAAAACGGTGTTTGTTCTGAATATACACTTACTGATCATCAATTTCTTCTGAATTATGATTACCAGTTGTGATTTGCATCCTCTGTTTTAATGGATGATTGTTATTTTCCAGTTGATTGATTGATGATATTTGCAGGATACCTTGTGTAAAGCTGTTTTTCCTAATGCAGCATCTGTTATCTAATTTTTCTTACAAGATTTTACAGCTTGATTATCTTAAAGTCTATCTCTCTCTCCACTGACAGGGGCATCAGGGTTGTGTCAATTCGATAGCCTGGAATTCTAAAGGTTCGCTCTTGATTTCTGGATCAGATGACACACGGGTATGATACCTCTTTATATTATTGAAGATTTCTTTTTAAGTGTTTCACGTGCAGTAAAAAATTTTGGACTAATAAAAAGAAAAGTTGAATTCGTGTTATGTGTGAGATTTTGCTTGGTTGCAATTTGTGTTATTCAACTTACTGTGATTTGGAAGATTGGAGACCTTGTAGAAGGGACCTCTATGATTCTGAACACATATGTTGTATGATTGGGTTGAACTAGCTGTTAAAAAAGGCGGGATGGGGTTGAGGAAAATGGACAGAGTAGAAAGTGACTAATGAGTAATGTTACTTTAGAGCTTTAAACTTCACTGAAGGAAAAATTTGATGCACCGAAGGAGAGGGTGATTGCTGTAGGCACACAGATATTTTCATTTATTGAAAGAGGAGAGATATTCATCTTGCATCAATTTTTGCAGATGAATATTTGGAACTACGCTGGTCGAAAGCTTTTGCATTCTATTGATACTGGGCATTCTGCAAATATATTCTGCACTAAATTTGTTCCTGAAACATCTGATGAGCTTGTGGTTGCTGGAGCCGGAGATGCAGAAGTAATGTTGTGATGAACTGAATTTTCTAAAGCTGAAGCTCTATTCTCAAGTTAATTATTTTGGTAACTTGCTCTGACCTTTTCTCATTTCAGGTTCGCTTGTTTAATTTGTCTCGCTTGAGTGGAAGGAGTCCTGATGATAATTCTATTTCTCCATCAGCACTGTATCAGTGTCATACAAGAAGAGTGAAAAAATTAGCTGTAAGATCTCATTGTACAGATGACCTAGTTGGCTAGTTGTGTGTGCTTATGTATTTTGTTTTCCAGCAGTGGGTCCCTCTAAACCACCAAAACTAGTCCTTGGCTTGTTTTAGGAACATGGAAAAACAAAATTCAAATATTTTTGCTTGTTTGGTTTGGCAAATTTTTCCATTTGTCTTATTGCTTTGGCCTTTCAGTAATCACAACCTTCACCTCTCTTGTAGGTTGAAGTTGGAAACCCCAACGTTGTCTGGAGTGCAAGTGAAGATGGAACACTTAGACAGCATGATTTTCGGGAGGGTTCTTCATGCCCTCCAGCAGGATCTTCCCATGAATGTCGCAATATTCTGGTTAGTTCAGGAGAGCTGAAAATTCTTCTGTCTTGAATTTAGTTTTCCTGCTGTGTTGAAGTTTTGATAGCAATACTTTGGATTGGATAGTTATGCTGTTTTTGTGGTGAAATGCTGTTTGTTTAGTGTTGATTGTCTTTGATTGTTTGTTACCATTAGTTCCATGTCCTGTCATTAATGATCATTAGAGGGGTCATCTTTCAGTATTTGAGAGTTGAAAAGAAGATTCTTGCATTCATTTTCCATATGAGGCACACTAAATCTATATGTAGTAGTGTTGGCATCTGGGTTATTAGCTTAAGTTGTATGGTATACTTTTTGTCAAGTGTGGCAATGATGACTCACCAAAAGGTTGTCTAACTTGCGTGTGGAGCTAACAGGTTAAAGTTCAGAGCCTCTCAATATCTATATCATTTTCCAAATAACATACCTTAATATGTTTACTTCAAACTTAGTCAATGTTATTTATACATGTTACCACTATTAATTAGCTTGAAGGCCAACAACACGTATAGTGCTTATGTTTACAAGTTGTAGATGTCATTTTTGTCCCTTGACCTTTTGATTAATACAGTTAAAACATTCAGAAAACTATTTACGTTTTCTTTATCTCTGTTTGCTTGCCTTTCTGATTCTGGGGTGCTTGTTTGTGGAAATTTTCCCCTCATGAAGCCTCTATATTTGAACATAATTGTTTTTCACATTTAGTACGTGATGACAGCTTGACTTGCGGTCTGGAGCAAAGAGGTCATTAGCAGATCCACCTAAGCAAACTCTTGCTCTGAGATCTTGTGATATCAGTACCAGTCGGCCTCATTTGCTCCTGGTTGGTGGGAGGTCTGAGCTTATGCCATCTGAGTTCTATTTTTCCTAATTTTTTCCCTTCATAAATGTTGTTTCTTAACTGATTTCTCTTGAAATGTTTGCAGTGATGCCTTTGCTCGATTATATGATAGACGGATGCTGCCTCCACTGACTTCCTGTAGGAAAAGGATGTCCCCGCCACGTTGTGTTAACTATTTCTGCCCAATGCACCTTTCTGAGCGTGTCAGTTCATAATTTCTGAACTATCTTGTTGTTACTTAATTATCTGATCTGATTGTGAACTGCACCATCTTTTATTTATTGGAGAAGGAGAAAAAAGATGATACAATTCATCCTATCTCCTTAGATTATTGTTTTAGATCATGAAGATATAATTAGTTCATAGCATAACTCTTGAAATCCTTGTAAACATGCTCATGTTGGTCCGATATCATCTTCTTGTCAATTTGCTTTTATTTTATGGCTTGTTTCTACAATTGTTCTATCCTCTCAATTCTCAAAGAAAAAATGTCATTAGAATTTATAATAACATTGCAGTTGTGTATTTTTTAGAACTTCCATCTTGGTCTCCTTTTCTTTTCAGGGACGTTCAAGCTTGCACCTTACTCATGTTACATTTAGTCCAAATGGGGATGAGGTTCTCCTAAGTTATAGCGGAGAGCATGTATACCTAATGAATGCCAATCACAGTAAGCTCCTTCACCTTGTGAGCTTGGCTTTATTCCTGTTTAGTTTGTTTCTTCAACCTGCTAGGTGATATTTTTATAACCTGACTTGGTGTTGGAATCCCTTTGGAAACACTCAAGGTAGTGTCTATGCTCCAGATAAACAATGTTGTATGAAGTTTCTGGTTTGAATTTTGAAGTCAATGCAATGCTAGCTTCGGATATGATCTACAATTTGATATATGGTGGTTGTGATTTGTGTGCTGAACTGTTTCTGTCATTAATCTTTTGTTTGTTGTTTTATTTCTTGATTCTGTCATTCTGGTTATTAGTTGGTTCTTCATGGATTGGTTAATGTCTTAAGTTGTTGTGAATTGCAGGTGGAGGCACTGCTGTGCGATATACTATTGGAGATACTTCAAAATTGATGACCTTCGCCCCTACACTCAATGGGCTAGAGCTGCAACCACTACCATCTTGTGTGCTCAAACGTCAGAATTATTCCAAAACCAGTGGTTCTTCCATAGTGAGTTTCTTTGTTAATTATATTTATTGTAGGCATATGTGTTGTTTTGATGCTAATGAGCTGGGGTCATGCCTGGTGTTCTTCATTTATATATTGGTGACCAGTCTAACGTGGCTGTTACAGCTTGAGAAGTGTAGAAAGTTGGTTCAAATTGCTGAAAAATTCTTAGAGGAAGGGACATGTTATTTCTATGGAATTGAAGCCTGCAATGAAGTTCTGGATGGCCATGGTCGTGTTATTGGCCCAACGCTTAGGCATGAATGTCTCTGCATTCGTGCAGCCTTGTTGCTTAAGGTCCCTTAAAGATTTTGTTCATCAAGTTGTTTCTGCATCATTTATTTTTCATGGATTATCACTAAGGTACTGCTTTTTTAATCGTCTAGAGGAAATGGAAAAACGATGTTCACATGGCCATAAGAGATTGTTATAATGCTCGCAGAATTGACAGTTCGTCCTTCAGAGCCCTCTATTATATGTCTGAAGCTTTGTCACGGGTAAGCTTGTTGTCTGAATCACCACTTTGTCTCATCAAATATGCGGTTTGCTGCCAATTAATCAGTCAATTGCACTACCAGACTGATGGGCCTGCTGCCATCTTAATTCTACTCTTTGACCAAATATCCTGGATCTTGTTTATAACAGCATGATGCATAATATTTTGTTTTACCAATTATCACTTGTTTGGTGCATGCATAATATTTGGAATCTGAACAAATGCTATGTGAAGTGTAAGCAATGATGAAAATGAGCTGATAATGTCATTTATTTATAATGATGAAAATGAATTGACAATATCATTTATTTATTGTTCTGTTATGGTTAGTTCCTTATTCCTAGATTCTTGCAGCTGGGAAAACATAAGGAAGCTCTAGAATTCTCCATTGCTGCCCAATGTTCAGCACCAGGAAATACTGAAGTAGCAGTATTGATGGAGGATATACGAAAGAATCTTGCTACAGGTTTGTATATTGCAATATCTAGTGCTTTTGTTGTTTCCTGTTAAGGAGAACTGTATTAGTTGATCTATTTGGTGTTTCATAACATTGAGTGTCTTACTTCCCAAGACTATATCTGCATCTGTTGCATATTTGCATGTCTAGCTGAAGCTGGAAAAAGTAGTAAGGACAATGACGGGGCAACAAGGTCTGAAACCCGAAATGGACGAGCATTGTCATTGAGTGATATACTCTATCACTCTGAGGCAAATAGTGATGCTTCACATGATGGTCCAGGGTCTGATAGAGAAGATTCTGACTATGATGAGGAGCTGGAGTTGGACTTCGAAACATCAGTATCAGGTGATGAAGGGCGTGATGTTGAACCAAACATTCTTCATGGTAGTTTGAATCTCAGGATACATAGGAGAGGTGATTCAGCTAGAGATTCGAGCTGTACAAATGGTTCATGTGGGTCACCTTCATCATCACAAAATGATCGAACACCTTATCAGGTTAGCATGATCTTAAACAGTGATTTATGTGTAGTTATGTATTGCTTATCAAAATATTCGTTCTTTTTGAAATCTTGGGCTTCCTCTCATGCATGTTACTATTTGGGTAAAATCACCACTATTTGAAAGTTTACTATGTAAAGGTTGGGTGTCCCTAAGGATGAGATCTAAAGGGGGAAAATACTAAATCTGGATATTGCTTCGACTAGCAGTTTAGTGTATGTTATACGATGACTTATTTGTATTGTTCAATTCTCTGTCTCTATCTCTCACACGGACGCACACGCATGCATGCATGTGCACATGCGTGTTACACGCATGTGCATGCTCACAGATGTACATTCTTTTTTCACTCTGGTTCAGCAATTTTTGTCTCTCTCTCTCTCTCTGCCAGTTTATATATTCTAAGCTGATATTGCAGCTGGAGACTGTCATTGATATGAAGCAGAGATATGTTGGCCACTGTAATGTTGGGACTGATATAAAACAGGCCAGTTTTCTTGGGCAAAGAGGTTGGTTTCTTATAGATCTCCTATACTTTCTTAGCACCTAAGATGTAAATCAGTTTGGGTCGCTTTTAATTCTTGATGTTAATAAAGTAAGGAATTTGTTTTCACATGACTCATATTTTTATTTATATTTGATACCTTCCATAGATGTGCTGTACAATTGTTGCCTTTTCAAGGAGGTTCTATGGAAATGATGCATTAGAAAGATTCCTGATCCTGACCATTGTGTTACTGAGGAATATTGACATGCTTTAGTAGTCTTTTTGAATTTGAATGTATCATTGGCTCTTACTTTGCATCAGACTTGGGATAATTGAGGTCTTAGTCGTAAGTTATAGCTGGAATGGATTATCTTTAGTAGTCTTACCATATTAAATTGGCTGAATGTCTTCAACTGTTGGGCAAGGTGTTTGTATACTGGTTATTTGTTTGAAAATGAGGACCATTGAGTTCTTAAGGTGTTTGTGGAATGCAGTTGTAGATTTTATGATGCTAATTGACTGAATGTCTGTAGCCTTGGGTCAGGTAATATGCTTGGTTCCCTCAGCTGCTGTCAATCAGCTGCCAGTGCAAGTGGCTTCTTGGAAAGTGTTGGTCATTTTTCATAGGACCCCCCCATTTTTGCTTGCCTTTGACATGTGAGAAAGAAATAATCCTTCCTAGTAGTACACAGGAATTTGGAATGATGCAAAATCTGTTCTTCAAAGTGGACAATCATTAGGTGTCAATGAGGCCACAGAGGGAGGATATCGCAACCAGCCATAAAAACTAGGATATTAGAAAGACACTTTGGAGGGACAGAGTATATACTTCAAGCAAACCATGTAAACCTGATCAGGCAAATTGAACAATGCTTTATAGTCTGATTGAATGTTTTCTGTCACCATATCAGCACCAATGCAATGGATCTGGACACTATATGCATCATAGAGATTGTTTGATGTGCCTTAAGGAAAATGATTTGTGGCATGATGCATCATAGATTCTTTCATGCCACAAATCATTTTCCTTAAGGCACATCAAACAATCTATGATGCATATAGTGTAAGAATCTATGATGCATCATGCCACAAATCATTTTCCTTAAGGCACATCAAACAATCTATGATGCATATAGTGTCCAGATCCATTGCATTGGTGCTGATATGGTGACAGAAAACATTCAATCAGACTATAAAGCATTGTTCAATTTGCCTGATCAGGTTTACATGGTTTGCTTCATGCCATTTTTTTAGCATGAATTTTGTGCTCTGTAGCATTATGCCTTGATTATTGTTAACGCACCTTGCAGTTTTCTAGATTTTTTCAAACATTGCAAGCAAGATCAAGTTCAGAAGCAGCATACCATTTGGTCAATTCTTAGTTTCTTACTATTGATTTGCAGGTGATTATGTGGCCAGTGGAAGTGATGATGGTAGATGGTTTATTTGGGAAAAGCACACTGGTAGATTGATAAAAATGCTTCTTGGAGATGAGGCTGGTAGCATTCTTTCTCCATGTGACTGTTTGGCTTTTGCCTAGATTCAGTAGTACCTTCTTAATTATCTTTGATTTATTCATCGTCTGCCTTGCAGTTGTGAACTGCATCCAGTGTCACCCATTTGATTGTGTTGTGGCAACCAGTGGTATTGATAACACCATAAAGGTTAGTTTGATGGATTTGATTTGTTTCCATCTATTAAATTGTGCTTGGCTTGTGTCCTAGGATAAAAGAGACATACAAAAGGACAAAATTGTGTTTGGTTGAAGGGACAAAGATGGAGTCATGAAAACAAATATGTTTCAAGAACAGTTTTGAAGTGAATTTACACCCTTTCAAAACAGAAAGGACAAGGGGACATCTCCTCTATGTCCCAACTATCTGTCTCTTCTATCGCTATCTTATGGTTTGGTTTTCTGATTTTCTGACATGGTTCTAGATTTGGACTCCAAGTGCTTCAGTCCCATCGATTGTGGCTGGGGGAGCAGCAGGACCTGAAACTTCTAATGTGTTAGAAGCCATGGAAAGCAACCAGCGAAGATTATGCCATAATCGTGAAGCAATCCTGTAAGAATATGAGCCCTTAGTTGTCCGTGTTCCCCAAAATTTATGTATTATTTTGTGAATTATGTTTTGCCACCCTCTGTCAGTATAGAGGTCCCCTATATGTGAAATCAACAAGCCTTTTCAATGTGACAACCCAAACTGGATATAAGAAATTGATTTTTCAAAAACAGTAATACAGCCTCGGGTCTGGAATTTATGCTCTTCACTTCACTTTGGTTTTGTTTGGTGTACTTTTGGATGCTGCACTGGCATAGCTTACAGCTCAGTTCAACAAAGTCTGTCTTGAGTATATATGGGTGGCCACATAGATGTTCCTCCAGTTCTTCTGTTGGAATCATTCATGTAAACCTCAATTCATTGCCCAGTTTTCTTCTCATGCTTGTTTCTCCTACAGCTAGAAAAAATACTCATTGGGATAAATGCTTATCTAGCACCCCCCTCTTCTTCCCAATGCACCATGCACATGTCTTAAGTCATAGATTTAATTATTGTTTTTTCAGGACTGATTTCTTTTATCCAAGTGACTTATTATGTTTACAAGGATTCATAATGTTAGTTGCAGCCCCTTTGAGCTTCTAGAACGGTTTCGGATGCATGAATTCACTGAAGGAACTTTGCACCCTTTTGAGTGTGCTCAGAGCTAATCGGGGCCTTTTCGCACTTAAGCCTCCAGTTAAGTATCTGCATGCACACATGAGGGTATAACTTAAATTTTCATGGATACAATAGTCATATTTGGATTTGCAGTTTAGACCAGTATCTTGGTTTTTATTATTATCATCAAGCTTTAATGGCTGAAACATATTGATGATTTTATGGTTTGTTGCTAAAACCCATTGAAACCCTTGTTAGCTGGTAGACTATAATTCTTAGTTTGTAAGAGATTCTTATACAGGCTTTATCTGTCAGGCACTGCATCATAATTTTGCTGAAAAGAAAGCCATGTCACAATGATTTAATCCATTTCCGTGGTTGTTTTCTTCATTTTCCTTGAATCCTTGTCCATTGTGTACCTAATTTTTTTAATAAGTTGTTTCACGTGTTTGACTTGTTGTTTAAAGAAGGTAATTCCAACAAAATAATGACATCATGCTAAGGTTTACTTTGGATTATAAAAAGCATAACAAATCAATGTAAATGAAAGTGATATGCATAGGAACATGATGAAGCAGCACAAAAAATCATAGTTATATTTGTCGTTTGGATTCTAATTTGATAATTGTTTGGGTCACTAGGTCTCCAGTTTCAGCAAAAAAGACTGGATGCCTTCTGAACCTCAAGAGAGTTATCGCCTATTGCATGAACCCAAATCTATCAGTGAAGGAAATTATATTTCTGAAACTGTTTTTTTTATTTTATATATATATATATATATATATAATTTTATATTTACTTTTCTGCGATTCCAGAGTTCTTTTCAGTGTTGTGTGCTTCAGGAGATCCATCACCTATTGCATGAACCCAAAACTATCACCAAAAGGAAATTATTTCTAAAACTGGTTTTTTCTAGTCATATCGTTGCAGATTTATGTGCTGACGAGTGATGATACAAGCGGAGTGTTGTTTTTTCGTTGAGCAAGGAGATAAAGGGAGGCTGCAACATAATTGGTGGTAGGAAATTAGTTGGCCATGTAAAGCCTTTTGTCCGATATCTTAATAAAGTGTCGCCAGTGTTAAATTATATCTAGTGCTGTACTGTTGCTATAAAGGTGATTACTTCTGGCTCATGTAATTATTTCAAGATGTTTCTGTTTATTGCTGTATTTAGTTAAAACAATTCCTGCACAGATGACAATTTTTTCCATAGGTCTGCTTGAATTACTTGATTTTGCCTTCTACTCTCTTGCGATTCCAGAGTTACCCCAGTGTTGTGCGCTTCAGGAGGTCAGTTAACATCCTCGGGCATGTTGTTAAATCATACCTGTGAACAACTCTTTGTTATTGACTATCGGTTGAGGTTGAGGTTAAAATTGTAGTAGTGATTGTAATTAAATTTTTTTTTTTAGAAATATATTAAAATAATTTTTTTATTTAAATAAATTATTTTTAATATCAGAATAACATATTAAATCATAAATAAATAATTTAAAAACATTAAAAAAAATCAGAAAAAAAATTGCAATATAAAAGGATTGTGGTTTTAACTGTCTTTTAAGTAGAGCGTGTCTTGTGCAAGCTCAACATTGAATATTATGCATTTTGATTCACGTGTGGGACACGTTCAGTTCTACTCACGATGCCTAGACGTGCCAGCAGTGTTTTGACGTGTGGGTTGTCTCCAGTCTTGTCTTCGTTCTTGGTTTGCCTTCGTTTTGATTTTTCAGTCATTGAAATGAGATGAGTGCTAGCTATCTTCTCTGTTACCATCTCCCTTTCATTCCGATAATTCTTCCACTTTTTAAATGCTACTTACTACTTGTAACTTGCACTCTATATTTTTGTAATTGTTTTAAGACTTATGACTAACAAGTAAAATGCATTGCTTTAGGTGTGTTGCATAAGCCAAGGTTGTAGCTAGTAGAATTGAATAAACATCAAGTATTTACTTTCTGTACAAAGGAGTGGAAAAACAGACAAGTTTATATTGGGCTTGATCACTTTCTTTTTTAAATGTATAAAGAAAATATAAAGATGTTGCAGAAGTGTTTACTAGCAAAACCTGATGTACATTGGGTATTTTTTAAGATAATGAGCTGGTAATATTTTGAATTATATATATATATATATATATATATATATATATATATATTTGTTTTAAAAAATTATTGAGATGATGATATAATAGATTGATTCGGATCAATCTTAGCTAATATACATAATTTATTATTCAAGTTATGAGACTGATAACTCAATAGTTAAATAAAATTTAAAATTTAATTCTCAATCAATTTAATATTAAAGGATGAAAATAAAAAAATAAAAAATATAAAAAAAATTAAAAAAAAGACTTAAATCAACCAAGGTCAACCTAGGCCATGAAAACAGGATAAATAAAAAACTAAAAAGTATTATTAACACGATCAAAAAATTGATATCTTCTTCTAAGTGTAGGAGTGTTGAAGTAATAAATAACCTCACAAGACCGACGTCGAATCATTGAGAGATTAACTATATAAATTATAAATAATAATAATAATAATAACAACAATAATATTAGTAATACTAACAACAACAACAAGAACAACAATAATAATAATAAAAAGAAGAAGAAGAAGAAGTTAAAGAGGATTTTGAGATTGTAAGATTAATGTGGGGATTAAACAATGATAAAAACAAATGTCAAGGTTAGAAGATCCACTAATGGTATTTTAAATAAGTATAGTATAAACTCTTATTGTTCAATTGGAAACCACACACAAAGAAGGTTTCAATCGGATTATAAATTGTTAACATGATTACATTAATTATCTTATTCGAATAATACTAATACTTATAAATATTATTAAGTATTTATGACTATAACTTATATTAACAACAAATCAAGTTCCTTTCATAGCACAGGTATCGGTTATACCATACGGTTGGGCTATGAAAGTGCCAAGTATTTGTTGTGCCTAGTGTTATACAATATAAATCTAGATTAACCATTTAACAAGTAAAGTATTAAAAGTGAACAAGATAACAAATACAAAATATGTTAGTATTAAACATTAAAGTCCATATTGAGTTTACAATATATTTATTCTTACACTATTAATATAGCTTTTTTACATTGACATAATAAACTTAACTAAACATAATAAAAGAAAGAAACTTAAATAAACAAGATAAGATCATAAATAAAATAAAATTTAACTAAGCAAAGGAAAGGAAATAAAAGGCATAAACAAGATATTAATAAAAGAAAAACTTATGCATTACAAAAATACAAAGAGAGAAAGCAAGAGCATGATCTTGATCTAAAAATCAAGATGCCTAAATGCATGACACATGCCTCGTTTTATAGGTCAAAGTTAAAAACTATTAATTTAATGACTAATTATTGAGTGGGTGACCAACTTTTGACTTGATGACAATCATTGTCTTCTTATTTGCCAAAAATATCATTACTAACGTTAGAATTCAAACAAACTTAAATTTTGAAAGTTCTAGAAAATTTCTCAACTTTTCTAAAAAAAATTGAGGTCATTTGGACTTCTAGAATTCCAGATATGGGCTAAACACTGAATAGTATCTAGATTGTAGAACAAATTTGAACTTTTATGTTGTTGCTAATATTTGGACTTCCAATTTCTAAATACTTGCCCTCATCATGGTTTTGAAACATGGAAATTGATTTCATATTTTTATGAAGGGTTAACACCTAAAGATAGGCAAATGGTTGAATTGATGTGCAATGGAACTTTTGAAGATAAAGACCCTGATGAAGCAATGAAGTACTTAGACTTGTTAGCTGAAAATGCTAAAAATTAGGACCCCGCGGGTACATATGAGGCACCGAGTAAAACTCAACCTCACACATCTAGTAGAGGCATGTACAACCTTAGGGAAGATCATGACCTTCAAGCCAAGTTTGCATCTTTAGCTAGAAAAGTCGAGGCACTAGAATTAAAAAAGAGTGGTCAATTAAAATCTGTTGAAAACATTGTGTGTCAAATCTGTGAAACAAATGAACACTCAACCAACGATTGTCCAACCTTGCCTTCTTTTAAAGAATGTCTCCATGAACAAGCCCATGCTTTAAACAGTTTTCAAAGGGCCAACCACAACCCATACTCCCAAACATACAACCCTGGTTGGAGAAATCACCCAAATTTCAATTGGAAGAGTGAGAACAACAATGCACAAACTTCACAACCACAGTTTCAAGCACACCATAATTTCCAAAATTCTCATGGATATGCACCTCCTTATGCTCCACCTCCTACAAGAAATTTTGAGGAAACTTTGTATGCATTCATTGAAAAGCAAGAGACAATCAACACTCAACTTGCTCAAAGCATAACAGATTTTAAAGATACTCTTGCAAAATTAACATCTGCTCTCAGTTTCCAAGAGAAAGGTAAGTTTCCATCTCAAACACAACAAAATCCCAAAGGGCAATACAATGCAAATGCAAGTAGTTCCGGAAGCCAACACATGGATCAAGTCAAATCAGTCACTACTCTGCGCAGTGGTAAGGTTATTGAAAAACCCTCTCTTGAACCTTATGAGAAAGATGATGAGTCAATCTCTGAGGGTAAGGAAGGGGATGAATCTGAAAATTGCAAAGAAAAGACTGATTCCCTGCCAGCACTTCCATTTCCTCATGCCATGACCAAACAAAGGAAAGTCAATCACAATTCTGAAATTTATGAAATTTTCAAACAGGTAAGGATCAATATACCTTTGCTGGATGCAATTAAACAGGTTCCTTCCTATGCTAAATTTTTGAAAGATCTATGCACTGTGAAGAGGAAACTGAATGTGAAAAAGAAAGCCTTTCTAGCCGAACAAGTAAGTGCTATTCTTCAAAACAATAATGCTTTGAAATATAAAGACCCTGGTTGTCCTACAATTTCTTGCTTTATTGGAGAGCATAAAATTGAAAGAGCCTTACTTGATCTTGGAGCTAGTGTGAATTTACTTCCATATTCAGTTTTTCAAAGTCTCAATCTAGGTGAGTTAAAACCAACTTCTATATCTCTTTTACTTGCCGATAGATCTGTAAAAGTGCCTAGAGGAATAATTGAAGATGTGTTAGTACAAGTCGATAAATTCATTTATCCTGTGGATTTTATTGTCTTGGACACAGAACCTGTTGAAGCATGTAATTCATTTCCTGTTATTTTAGGACGTCCATTTCTTGCAACTTCTAATGCATTGATTAATTGTAGGAATGGACTGATGAAGCTATCATTTGGAAACATGACATTGGAGATGAATATTTTCAACATTTGCAAGCAACCTGGAGATGATAATGATTTACAAGAAGTAGATCATATTGATGAATTAGTTTATGATCAACTTGAATCTACTTTAAGTAAAAATGAATTGGATGAAACTGAAGATTTGCAAATGATTTATTCTGAGGAAGAAATCACGGATGAAACAAGCACCAAAAATGTTGATGCAAATCTTTTGTCAACAGTGACAACAGATTCGACATCTGACATCACACCAATCGATGATTACTTTCCTAACAAATCCTTACTTTCTCTTAGTTCAATGCCTTGGTATGATAAAAATATCAATTTTCTTGCTTTAGGAGATTTGCCAGCTGATTGGAGTACCCAAGACAAAGAAAAGTTTTTGAACGAAGTGAAGAGCTTTTATTGTGATGACCCTAACTTATTCAAATATTGTCCTGATCAAATATTTCAAAGATTCATTCCCGACAATGAGGTAAGTAGTGTCATTAAACTTTGTCATTCTGAAGCATGTGGAAGTTATTTCTCGTCAAAAAAGACTGCTGCAAAAATCTTTCAAAATGGATTTTATTGGCCCACCATGTTCAAGGACACACATGCATTCTGCAAAACTTGTGAAAATTGTCAAAAGATTGATACTGGTCAAAAAGTTTTGTTTTATAATTCTCAACTCTATGCAGTCCCTAGAGAGCTAAGACCAAGATGGAGCAATCCTTATGGGGCCTGTGATATTGAGAATTCAATGAATGACAATGATTTTAAGGAAAATGGACATCGTTTGAAAGCTCACTTTGATAATTTTCTTAATGAAAACGAATCAACTGGTTTGAATGATTTTGTAGATAAAGGTTGATTATTTTTTTTCTCACATTGTTTTTGTGTTTCTTTTTGAGTGATTTTTGCTAGTTTCTCTCACCCCGGTCAAATGGCGGATAACGGTACTCCGTGACTTAAG